GAGAATAATGATTTTGTTTCTTTTATATGAATGAGCTATTCTTCCTCATGTGCCCCCCCCCCCAATTTCTGCATTCTTCCTTCCTGTTTCACTCACTCTCTTATTCTCTGTTTGATGTCATCCTTTTCCACTTTGAGGGTATACAGACAGAACTGAAAATGGAGTAAGTCCAGAGCCAAGGAAAATCTTAGGGTGAGATAGTTATGAAACAGGCTGAATTTTAATGGTGAGTTTATCTTTCTTATATTACTCTTTTGTTCTTATTCTGTGCCTTTGAAAATTTTTTTTTTTTTCTTTTTTTTTTGAGATGGAGTCCCCCTCTGTTGCCAGGCTGGAGTGCAGTGGCACAATCTTAGCTCACTGCAACGTCCACCTCCGTGATTCAAGCGATTCTCCTGCCTCAGCCTCCTGAGTACCTGGGATTACAGGCATGGACCACTGTGCTTGGCCTAAAATATTTCATTTTAAAAATGGTGATTAAAAATAAGAGGCAGGCATAAGCACATGTAAATGGTATTGGACAGCGTGTGTGTTTAATATGAGTCTTTAGCTTAGGGCCATTAATGCAAGTAGCTGTTAAGATGAAATTGAGCATTTCATCTTCAATTCTTTATATATTGTAGTTCCCATTTAAATTATCAGAGGCTAAAATAAACATTAAGGTAAATACATAGACTTTTGTAACAAATCCAAGAAAGCAAATTTGCTTGATTCTTTGCATAAATCTCTATCTGCCTAATTGTTTCTCATGTTCAGAATGCTATAAATTAAGGTGAAAAATGTATTGACCATCTCTATGACTCTTAGGCAGCCAATTCACTCAGACTTTCATTTACGTTTCCTCATCTATGAAGTAGGAATAATAATATTCCATGTCACACAGGATCATTGTGATGATTACACATAAGCAGCTTAGAAAACTCCTGGCACATTATAAGTGCCAGTATTTCTCCACCAGAGCTCCACAAGAGAATTAAACTCTACAGAAAAGGGTTTGAGTAAACTACATTGACCCCTGAACAACATGGGGATTAAGGGTGCTGATCCCTGCCAGTGGAAAATCTATGTATAACTTTTGACTGCCCCAAAACTTAACTTCTAAGAGCTTACTTTTGACTAGAAGCCTTATTGATAACATAAACAGTTGATGAACACATTTTGTATGTTACACGCATTGTAGACTGTATTCTTAAAATAAGCTAGAAAAAAGAAAATGTTATTAAGAAAATCATAAGGAAGAGAAAATATTATTCATTAAATGGAAGTGGATCATTGCGACAGTCTTCATTCTTATCTTCACATTGATTAGGCGGAGGAGGAGGAGGAGGAAGAGAAGGGGTTGTCTTGCTGTCTCAGGGTGACAGAGGCAGACGAAAGTCCGCATATTTGTGAACCTGCATAGTTCAAAGCCATGTTACGGGTCAACTGTGTTTTCTCAGTTCTTCCAAGGATAGTACGTGGTGCTACTCTAGATGCACAGGCATTAAATCATACACATACAATGATGCTTTAGACATTAGGGCTTAATCCTTTGGGAATCTCAAATGAGAAGGGCTTATAAGTGTTATAACTGTTTAATATATAATAGCTATTATTTTGATTGCAAGTGGCAAAAATCTGTAATTTTTTTTCTTTTAAGACAAGTTTTCACTCTGTCTCCCAGGCTGGAGTGCAGTGATATGAACACAACTCACTGCAGCTTAAGCAACCTTACAGACTCAAGCAATCCTCCCGCCTTACTCTTCCTGGTAGCTGGGACCACAGGTGCCCATCACCATGCCCAGCTAATTTTTTTAAATGTTTTTGTAGAGACTGGGTCTTGCCATGTTGCCCAGGCTGATTTTGAACTCCTGGGCTCAAGCAGTCCTCCCACCTTGGTCTCTGAAAGTGCTAGGAATACAGTCATAAGCCACCACACCCAGCCAGAAATTTATATTTAAACTGGTTTAAATAATAGAGGGACTTTATTGTTCCATGTAAATGAGAAAACAGAGAAGGCCTCAGAGATGATTTGATTAGGACTCTGACTTAGTATCTCTGCTATTCTGTTAGTTCAGCCTTTTCTCTGGCAGTTGGGTTAAACTAGTATTTCTAACCAAATTTTCAAAAGAAGAATATATATTTTTCCTAAATATAGGCTTATGGCTAAAAAGCATAAGGTGTATTTTGTATATATTTTAGAAGTATATTTGGAATATAGTAATTGTTAAATAAGACAGTTTTGGCTTAGATAACTGTATCTGATATTAGTATGTGTCAATATGCAGTTATGCATTGCTTCACAACTAGAATATGTTCTGAGAAATTCATCCTTAGGCAATGTCATCAGTGTGTGAATCATAGAGTGTACTTACACAAACCCAGATGGTATAGCCTACTACTCACCTAAGCTATATGGTATAGCCTGTTTCTCCTAGACTGCAAACTTATACAGCATGTTACTCAACTGAATACTGTAGGCAGTTGTAAGACAAAGGTCAGGAGTTGTGTATCTAAACATAGAGATACAGTAAAAATATGATATAAAAGATTTAAAATGGTACGCCTGTATAGAGCATGGTACCGTGAATGGAGCTTGCAGGACTGAAAGTTGCTTTGGGTGAGTCAGTGAGTGAATGTGAAGGCCTATGACATTACTGCACACTACTGTAGACTTTATAAACACAGTACAGTTAATCTATACTATAAATTTATTTTCTTAATTTTTCTTCCTTCAATAATAAATTAGCTTAGTGTAACTTTTTCACTTTATAAACTTAATTTCTTTTAACTTTTTGACTCTTTTAATAATACTTAGTTTAAATATATTATACAGCTGTACAAAAATATCTTCTTTCTTTATATCTTTATTCTATAAGCTGTTTTTTTTAACTCTTTAAACTTTTTTATTAAAAACTTAGGCACGTGGCTGGGTGCGGTGGCTCACGTCTGTAATCCCAGCACTTTGGGAGGCCAAGACAGGTGGATCCCTTGAGGCCAGGAGTTTGAGACCAGACTGGCCAATGTGGTGAAACCCTGTCTCTACTAAAAATACAAAAATTAGCTAGGCGTAGTGGCGTGCGTCTGTAGTCCCAGCTACTCAGGAGGCTGAGGCATGAGAATCACTTGAACTTGGGAGGTGGAGGTTGCAGTGAGCCGAGATTGTGCCATTGCACTCCAGCCTGGACAGAAGGGGACTCTGTCTCACAAAAAACAACAACAACAACAAAAACAGGCACAAACACACCATTCTATACTTACGTAGGGTCAGGATCATCAGTATCACTGTCTCCTACCTCTACATCTTGTCCTACTGGAATATCTTCAGGGGCAATAATATTACACATGGAGCTGTCATCTCCTAAGAGAACAATGCTTTCTTCTGGAATATCTCTTGTAGGACCAGCCTGAGGCTTACAGTTAATTTTTCTTGTATAAGTAAAAAGAGTACACTAAAATAATAATAAAAAGTATAGTACATTAAATACATAAATCTGTAACATAGTCATTTATTATTATCAGTTATCCACTGTGCATAATTGTATATGCTATACTTTTATACAACTGGCCGCACAGTAGATTTATTTACACCAGCACCACCACAAACACATGAGTAATGTGTTTTACTATGACATTGTACAACTACAATGTCAGTAGGCATTACGAATTTCTTATTATAATCTTATGGGACTGTCATCATGTATTCATTCCGTCATTGACCAAAACATCATTATGTGGAACATGACTGCATAAGAAAAAAATGTTAAGCCTATAGAAGCTGTAGTTGCGCTTTTATATGTATGCCAATATTAATTACACTAAACCACTTCAGCAGGCCATATTCTAGTAAAAGGTTTTTAAGACAGATTGCCAAAAGAAAGAGAACAAAGCAAAACAAACAAAAAACAGGGAGTTTGCAGGAATAAGTTGATGAAAGGAGTTGAAGAACAAACTAAGGGTAGTTAGGGAGGCAGAGGTTGCAGTGAGCCAAAATCGCGCCATTGCACTCCAGTCTGGGTGACAGCAAGACTCCATCTCAAGAAAACAAAAACAAAACAACTCTTTATCTGAAAAATAATTTGTATGTTTTCAGGTGGTATAAGAAAAAGTGCCTCTCTTTACCTATCTGTATTCCTAGAAAATAGTCCCAATGCTCACCTGAAACAAACTCTTAGGATCAGAAGCAGCTTTTAATCAGCTATATCTAGGACTTCCAGTCCACATCAAGAGCTAATTAAACAGAGGAGACTCAGAGCTGTCCTCTCCTTTCTAGAGTGATTTGGACAACTTTTTCTTTTTTTCCCCCCTTTTCTGTTCCCCAAGCAAAAGCAGATTCCCAAGAATGAAAGAATATGGGAAGCTTGCCATCTTCTTGACTAAGTATTGAATCCCTTACAGTATGAGTAGAGAATCGTCTGCCCTCAAAATAACTAGATAAATTACTTTGAAATTCTAGGGTGATTTTTTCATCAGTAGACCTATTCAATTACTGATTTCTGAGACTCCTTCAAAAGATATATTTTATAAATTATATTTATTGTAAACAACCTTTATTAAGCATTTTTAAAGAAATAATTTAAATTATTTAAATTAAATAATTAAGGTCAGGAGGTCAGAAGTTTGAGACCAGCCTGACCAACATGGAGAAACCCTGTCTCTACTAAAAATACAAAATTAGCCAGGTGTGGTGGCACATGCCTGTTAATCCCAGCTACTTGGGAGGCTGAGGCAGGAGAATCGCTTGAACCCGGGAAGCAGAGCTTGCGGTGAGCCGAGATGGCACCGTTGTACTCCATCCAGCCTTGGCAACAAGAGCGAAACTCTGTCTCTAAATAAATAAATAAATAAATAACAACATAGTTCACTATGACTTGTCTGTCAGAGGTAGTTTGAGAATGGATTTGTTCAGAATTCAGGTAATTAAAGGGTATGTCCCTATGCTTTTCCTATACCTTGAAATATTTGAGTACATGCTTTGAAAAATTGCCTCGTTTTTGCTTTGTTGTTTTGCCACAAAACAGAAAGAAGAAGGAAAGCTTCAAGGACAGCTTAACAAGTCTGATTCTAACCAGTATATTAGGGAACTGAAAGATCAGATAGCAGAGCTGAATCATGAGGTAAGTGATAAATTTTGATCTTCACATATTTCTTTCTTCCTTCCTCTGTATTGTAACAACACTTTATTACTGCTTATAAGACTGACACTTGTGTGCTGAATATCTTCTGTGAATTATTGGTTATAATTAATAACATTTTTGAAAATTGTCTTTTTAGCAAGCATCTTCTGTTCTAATATGGGGGATTTATTTCCCCTTAACCTCATTAGCATGACTTAGAATGATCAATTAATATTTTCATGGCAAATATTTTATTTTTTTATTGTGGTGTAAAACCTCTTGATGGTTTGCATAGATGTCAAAGTTACTTCAACTAAACTACAATTGTGCTTATACCTATAGAATAGATTTGTGGTATTTACCGTTGCATGCAGAGGGAAGTCTTTTTACTCTTGTCTTCTTTTCCCCCTCATGGTGGTATTACTGAGATTGCAAAAAAGGATACTTGCCTAATATCAGTTAACAGATTTCTTAGTATCTGAATGCTTTTTAAACTGGCACTACCTTGAATCTGTGAGATTCAACTCACAAAACTTTTGGTTTTACTAAGTACTATACTGAGTAATTTAAAGTATTTAAACTAATATGTTTTGATTAGAGAGAGATGTTAATGTGGCTCGAGGTCAATTTTCTTGTCCTTTATTGTTTTCTATTTTAATGATAGTATTTGGCTAAACACTAATGGAATACCATATTTCTTGTTTTGAATTATTTATAAAATAATGTATATTCACAGTAATGAGATTTGAGAAGGTAGTATAACTTTCATTTGATTAAAAAGAAGAAAGAGAAAGAAAAAAAAAAAAAAGAAAACTCATTTTGACCACTAAGTGAATTTAAACCTCAAAGGAAAAAGTTTAGACATTACCCTTTCCTGGTATTACACCCTTCAGTTAAAGTCTGTGTGTTTTGGGTAATACCTCCTGGGGTAGTCAGTCTAAGAGTCAGTTCTAAATGAAGAAGAAATAAAACATAAACAGAACAGTAAATCTTAGATGTGGCTCAGTTTTATTTGTTTTGAAATTTGGGAAATCAGTCCTGTAAATATTAATTTTCAGCCATGATAATGTTTGAGGGATTCAGGATCTTACATATAATCTTTACCTATTTGTGTGTATTTATTATCATATTTTTAAATCTATAGCCATAGCATGAAAGAACAAGTTACAAATAAGTGTGTTCTAGAAATCTTTATTCTTTTGAGAACCCTAGGAATTACTTATGTTCAAAAGGTGTTCTCAAAGGAAATTGTGATTAAAATAAAGCAACCTGCCATTTAAAATTTTGATGTCTCATGATAAGGAAGCTTTAATGTTGCTGAAACTTACATATAGATTGACTTTATTTCTAAAACTAATGTAAAAATCAGTCAACAAACATTAATTTTCCCTGTCATATGCTTTGACTAAAAATCATGATATTCTGGCTGGGTGTGGTGGCTCATGCTTGTAATCCCAGCACTTTGGGAGGCTGAAGCAAGTGGATCACTTGCGGTCAGGAGTTTGAGACCAGCCCATCCAACATGGTGAAACCCCATCTCTACTAAAAATACAAAAATCAGCCAGGCATGGTGGTGTGTGCCTGTAACCCCAGCTACTGGGGAGGCTGAGGCAGAAGAATCGCTTGAACCTATGAGGTGGAGGTTGGAGTGAGCTGAGATCATGCCACTGCACTCCAGGCAACAGAGTGAGACTCCGATCGATCGATCGATCGATAGATAGATTAGATAGATAGATAGATAGATAGATAGATAGATAGATAGATAGATAGGATGGATTGGAAAGATGGACTGATGGATGGATGGATGGATGGATGGATGGATAGATAGATAGATAGATAGATAGATAGATAGATAGATAGATAGATAGTCTCATCAGGACTGCCAGAAAATAACTCACGTGAAGTTTAACTTTGATGTCAGTTTTTTACGTGTAGCCTAAGAAAGCAGTCTTACCTTATCCAAACATGAAAAGAAAATTAATCAACAGGTTAGAATTTTCTACTATGAAAATTGAAAGCTAGATTGTGCAGATTTAAAGAGTAGAAATCAAACAAACTGCATCTTTTTTTTAAAAAAAAGAAAAAAACCTTTAAAGCATTTTTATTTATTAATACGCTTCCTTGTTGCAGATAGAATTAAGGAAATTTGCAACCGCTACAAAGTAATAAACTACAATTTTGGGAGCAAAAGGAAAGAAAAAAAACTGTAGAAATATAATATGGAAGCATGAATAAGACCATTATAAAAATGCTTACCATAAAAATATATCTTTCCTATAAGTGGGCCTCAGATTTGGCTCTAAGGTTTTGCAGCCAACACAAAACCTGGTCACTTAAACATTTCAGAGTGTCTATATTATGACAACAGACCAATTAGCTAGAAGAGCCACATCTATTCCTGATACTAAGATTAAATAACAAGTTCTCCATTGCTTCCTCACAAAGGAGACCTAGTGTGAGTTCCCTGGTTATTATACTTAACATTTGAATGGCTTCATAATCATAAAAGTTAAATAAAGAACAGAAGCTTAAAAAAAAAAAAAACTTTTGTAGGCTGGGTGCAATGGCTTATGCCTGCAATCCCAGCACTTTGGGAGACCGAGGTTGGAGGGTCACTTGAGCCCAGGAGTTCAAGACCAGCCCGAGCAGTATAGGGAGACCCTGACTCTATTACAAAAAAAAAAAAAAAAAAAAAAAAAAGCCAGGCCTGGCGGCATGCGCCTGTAGCCCCAGCTACTCCAATGGCCAAGGCGGGAGGATCAGTTGAACCCAGGAGATCAAGGCTGCAGTGAACCATGATCACACCACTGCACTCCAGCCTGGGTGTCAAAGTGAGACCCGGTCTCAAAAAAAAAGGTTTTGTATAGCAGCATAACATGCAGAGACATGTCCAAGTCAAAAGTTTCCAGCTCAGTAAATTATCACAAAATGATCACACTCATGTAGATATCACCCAGGCCCAAGAAATAGACCCCAGAGCCCTGTTCATACTCTTTTAACCCATACTGCCTCCCTTCTACTCAAAGGTAACCATGATCTCAGACTTCTAATACAGTAGTTTAACTTTCTGAACTTTATATAAATGGCTTCTTGCAGTGTGTATTCTTTTGTGTCTTGCTTCTTTTGCTCAACATTGTGAGATTTTACTTTGTCATTTTAAAATGTAGCTGTAGGTTGTTCATTTTCATCACTGTGTAATTTTCCTTTGTATAAATATACCATGATTTATTTATCTATTATGTTGGTGAACATTGGGATTATTTCCAGTTGGTCTGTTAAGAACATTGCTTTAAGTGATTTATGCCAGTTTATACTGTCTATAAGCAGTGAAGAAAGTTCTTGCTGTTCTACATCTTCAACATGTGGAATTGTCAGTCTTTCTTATTTTAGCCATTCTGTGACTATGAAGAGATTTCTCATTATGATTTTAATGTGCATTTCCCTGATTATTAATGAGATTGAGTACTTTTCCCCCAGTATATAGAACAACGTTGGCATGTACTGGGTACTTTGTGAAAATGTTTCTAATGAAAAAATGATGTTTGTGAAAGGTTTTACAGATGAGATCACATATAAGTTGCATGGGAATGCCAAGAAGCTGCTTTTTTTCTTTGGATGGAGTCTTGCTCTGTCTCCTAGGCTGGAGTGCAGTGGCATGATCTTGGCTTACTGCAACCTCTGCCTCCTGGGTTCAAGCAATTCTCCTGCCTCACCCTCCTGAGTAGCTAGGGTTACAGGCACACACCGTGATGCCTGGCTAATTTTTGTATTTTTTTAGTAGAGTTGGAGTTTCACCATGTTGACCAGGCTGGTCTCGAACTCCTGACCTTGTGATCCGCCTGCCTTGGCCTCCCAGAGTGCTGGGATTACAGGCGTGAGCCACCATGCCCATCCAGAAGCCTCTTAATATGTGAAAATTAGTGGAAAGAACATTCCAGACAGAAGAAACAACTAGCCCAAAGACCTTAGAAGAAAATGAAATGGTCATTTTGAGAAACAATACTAGTGTGGCTGGAATATAGTGAAGGGTAGGAAAACGGTATAAGATAAAATTAGAGAGGCAGGTGAGGTCAGATTATTTACGATTGGTCCTCTGTATCCATGGGTTTGCATCAGTGGATTCAACCAACCTTGGATCAAAAACATTGTTTAAAGACTATTGCATCTGTAGCTGTACTGAACAGCTGCAAATTGTTTTCCTTATTATTATTCCCTAAACAATACAGTATAACAGTTTATATTGCGTTAACATTGTATTAGGTATTATAAGTAAGCTAGAGATGATTTGAAGTATACAGGAAGTCAGGCATAGATTATATGCAAATATGCCATTTTATATCAGGGACTTGAGCGTCCATGGATTTTAGTATCCTTGGGACATCCTGGACCCAATCTCCCACAGGTACCGAGGGACAACTGTGTAGTGCTTTGTAAACCAGGGTGTATAGTGGAAAGCTTTTGAATGTTTGTTGTTAGGGATTTTTTTGGTTAGGGTTGTTTAGGTTTTTTTGTTTTGTTTTGTTTTTGTTTTTGTTTTAGAAATGGGGGTCTCACTATATTGCTCAGGCTGGCCTCTAACTCCTGGGCTCAAGTGATCCTTCCACCTTAACTTACTGAGTAGCTGGGACTACAGGGCTGTGCCACCATGCCTGCCGTCTTTGGATGGTTTCATACAGAAAATTTTATAATTTCATTTGCTCTGCCTACTGTACAGTGAACTGATTGTAGAAGAGAAAGAGTGAGAAGAGGGAAATTCATGAGGAGTCTGTTACAATGGTCCAGATAAGATCAAACATGGCTTAGAAGGATGGAAGAAGTGGAAATGTAATATGGCTGTGTTAGAAGTATGTTTATCTCATAAGGAAAAATATTCATTGGTTCCAGAGAGTTTTGGCTTGAGTAATTGAGTGAATGGTTGGTTGGTGCCATTGACCAACATAGAGAAAGGTAAACAAGAGCTCTATTTTTATTCTAAGGTTTGTAGTAAGGTTGAGATTCCT